AATCATCTACGGTCTAGGGGCCGACTAACCTCTCCCTTAGGCTTCGGCTGAGCTTCCTGATCAGTCATTGGATAGCGGTGTCAGGGCTGAAATCTCTGGCATAGCCGTAAATGCTTCGCGCTGCCATACTGCGCTTCGGCACTCGATGTCTGGAGGTATGGTCCCAAATAAAATTTCAAAAAAAGTAATTCTAATTAAAGATGATAGTTTAGAGTGAATTTGTGTATCGAAATTTTACTTGTTTATGAGTTCTGCCCATTCTACTGAACTACGTGTAGCGGGTTAAATACGAATATTGCGGAAATCATCTTAGAGCTAAAAATACATCGATTCACTCGATAAGTACTAATGGAAAACTGGCCGAACTGATAAACATAAAGGAAAAAGCATAAGGGAAAAACGTAAGGTAGAGATTTTATTCACATTACGCAAAGCCAGTACAAAGGCTTAGTTATCCTTGCAGGATTCTACAGCATTTTGGTAGCAGGTATCTCTACTGTGTTGTTTGTAAATTATTACTAAGCTGTTCTCACATGATTTATTCACAAATCTCATTAGAATATGAGCAGACCTCGTTAGCATTTAAAGCTGCGTTATGCGAATGATTCACTCTAGTAAAGATTTTCGCTAAGCATTTTTTATGTGGAACAAAATTTAATCTATTTGGCAACCAAGGTTATGTACAATTAAGTGTAATAAGTCAAATAAAATGTTTGTCTGTCTTGCTATGGAAAGGTTAAGTGTCCAAGACGGTTTCCTTAATGACGTCGTACATAAATGAATTAGTGAGATGTATCTGTGATAACGTCAACCGACAACTTTTGACGTCACCATTTAATCAGTTAGCCGTCATTCAGTTTGATGAATCATGTTTTCATTTGACAGGTGTTAATCATCGACTCGAAGGCAGTTTATTACGAGTTTCTGGTTAACCAATGGCTGAATTCTTCAAGCACTCCAACAGTCGAGGTTTCACAGGAAGCGATTCTCTCTCGTAAGTTTAACCTGTCTTTCCTTCTTAAAATACCAAGGCCATGTGACCAACACGAGAGAAACATGTTTGCGCTTGCTCGTATGCAGTTTAGTCCAAAACCTCATTTGCCATCTTAAAAAAACTGGGAGGGAAATCGCAGTCGTAGCTAACGACTTGAACTGGCATCAGGCAGAATAATGCATTGTGGAATATTATACAACCTGGTGGACAGCAAAGGCATACTTTCCTGTGATTGGATTGTTTTTTAAAAAGGCACTCGGATATTTGATGTTTGAGTGGCCCTTGTACCCACTGGCATTCTTAACAGTATAATAAAGAACAGTTTGTTTTCATGAATTTCAAAGTATTTACGGAATTTACAATGAGATAAATGTTACAAAATTACTAGTCGGTCAAATAAATATATACAAAATATTATGGAGTTGGGTTGAAATAATGTATTTTTGGGTGTTGTTTTGGTTTGGATAACAGGTACGTTTAGCTACTAGTGGTCTATCAGTAACAGAGTAATAGCAACTCAGCCAATCAACGCGCAGGAATTCTTATCGACCATTAGTAGGTTTATACTAATGAAATATAAAAGCAGGCGTGACCAATGTTTTGTTTTCTGTTTAATTAGTTAGACTTTAATTCAACAGGCACGTATGGAGGCCCTAATTCCGTTCAGTCAAGAGGTAAGCTTTGTTCTCTTCTTTATAGAAAAGTTCAAAGAAGATTGGCAACAAAGTAATAGTTTATAGGATTGGCAGACCTAATTTGGAAAAGTTCTTGGCGCTTAAATTCTGCCTAGCATTTATCTGAGGTCGTTATTGCTATCCTTTAAACTTTGTAAAAAGAAATCTGCGACTTGTTGAATGTCACCATTTGTATAGGAAATCGCACGATCTCGAGTACAATTTGGAAATTAATAGACACGAGTAATGTTTTG